CCCGGAAGTTCCTGTGCTTCCCGCCCGAAAGCAGCAGATTCCTCGACTTAAACTGATTGAGCTACAAGCGATACGCCAACACGGAAAAGAGGACTGGAATTCGTGCTTGGCAAGAGTTCGTTCCCGAAGGTTCTAACCTATCTTAATCCTTATTAGCTCGCCCTACCTTTCTTCTTAGGTTGTCTAGGAAGAACAGAGAAAGTCTCGTCGTTTACCGCTCCGAGGGTGAGTTTGTCTTCTAATACCACACGGGACTCTTTCACTGCTGAATGACCTGTCTGGTACGGCCTATTCCCTTATGGATAGGGAAAGAGCTGAGTTGAGTTCGTGGTTCATGGCTATGGAGCACTCATGTAGGAAGAAGGCAAGTCCTAAGTGCCAACGGGTCTATCTAGTTTAAGGAATTTCCCTAGTTTTATATCGCTAAGAGAGGGCTGAGACTTTCTTTTCTTAGAGGAAGCCCGAGGGAATTTACTTTATTTCAGAAAGTCTAGGAAGTGAAGATCTGAGATTCCACTATACTTATTTATATTTACCGTATTTGAGTATCTAAAGTAGTTCCTTTTCTTGTCGAAGGGGCGGAGAAGCTCGACTAGTTGGAGAGGAGATCGAACGGCATAGGGATAGCGATCCGAGGCTAGACAGATTGTCCGTTTTTGTTCACTAAATCGCCATACATAAAGGAAGAGCGAGAAGGGAGCTCCTAACTCAGGAACTTCTTCTTCAACAGAAAGCGGAGGTCTATTCTATTTAAACAGGGTCACAACCCAGGTCCGAAATCACTGATTGGCCACTACTAATCCATTCTTAAACGTCCGTGGTCGGTCTTTTCCACGAGTGCTACCAATCGTTACAGAACGAGCCTCGCTGCACTAAGTCTCGAAGCCTGACGTTCGGGACGAACTGAACTTACTGAGCCGGGACGGAAACTCGGAGGGAAGCTCTCCTTTCCGCTGACTCCTCACAGCCTACCACTAAAGAGATGCGAAACTCGAGACGAAGAAAGTCAACTCATTCTCTTACTAAAGGGAAGCGTGCTCTTCACCTTCCTATGCTGCTTCTCCTGCTGATGCTTTGCTTTCATACGATTGATCCGAGGTGGAATGCCTGATTGACTGACCTTGCTTTCACTCTAGTTACCAACTTGACAAGTCAAGTCATTCTTTCCTTACCCTAAGCAAGCACTTCTTTAGCAAGAAATGCATCATTTTCACACGACCAACTAGCTCCATTTCACAGTGTTCAGTCCCTATCTGTTCGCGATGGGATTTACCCATCACTCACCCGTTGAAAACGCATATCTTTCTTTCGCTTACTAAATGGCAATAGTGATTTAGCCCGAACTTAACACAGCCTATTGTATAGATGTGCATCCTATAAAAACACCTGATCTATTCGACTAGCAGCGCTAGATGCCAAAAAGTAGTATGAAAAATATCATCTAGAGATAGCAGTGCACGAACGAAAGAAGGCCCTCGCGGAAGCAAACTTCGCGGAAGCAAAATCTTGGACAAAGGATTAGCGCTAATTCCTATAATTATCCGCTCGTTCACAATCGGCTGAACCCGGAGATTCTGATGTTGTTGAAAGGGAAAAGCAGCCAATGTGAGAATTACCGAATGAACCTCTTTTCTTTGTTTTTCTTCTGAGATTCTGAGTTAGATATTCTTTATTCATTTATCTCTCTATACGATAAAGAGAGGGAAGGTTATACCTATTAGAAAAGCAGGAACTACAGGAAGAAATAGTAATTGCCACTTTAGCTGGATGCAAACAAAGACTTGTTATGCTAGGATCGGTTAGGACGGGTTAGGCTTAGGAAAGAAGTTGAGTTCTCCACTGTAATGTCTTCTTTCTCACATTCTCCCATCGGGAAAGCACTCTGTCCAACAGAGAGACAAATAAAGAATAAGAAAAGTAGTAAGAGCTTTATTTCATTCCTTTGTAAAATCAGGCCTGAAAAGCTGCTAGGACCTGAGACCCAATCTTATCGTGCGTATTGGATATAGCAGATAAGGGGGCAGATTCGATCTTTTGATTGGAAAAGGTAGGAGCGTAGCGAGAATCAGGGAAGGGGCTTGGCATGCTTTACCTAAGTTAAGGGGATTCGCCCAGCTTCTAAGTGGGAATAGCCCTCCCTCTCGACCTTTTGAATATGGGAGCTATCTGTCCTGTGAATAGACTCTACTACTTTTGTTCTGCAGTATCGGAAGCCATCCCCCGACTTGCAGGACCAATGTCCGCCTTTTGCTTTATCGGGTTTTACTTCCTTCCTACTCTGATATACTCACTAAGTTCCTACTGGACAAAATAAGGTTATCATCTCCGAGCCGAGAACTTTTTCCTTTTCTTTCGGTCCTTAAAGAAGTGCTTTTTTCATTTATAAAAAACTTTCTCTTTTGTGGAACCTGAACCTACCACCTCGACGACCAAGCATTCGTAATCGTAACCGGTGTGAAATTCACCTTTACTGAAGCAAGGAACTGAACTCAGGCTCCTTCTTTAGGCTGACCGGCTAACCAGGGAACCGCGTAGAATAGTCTCTGTTTCGGATGTCTCCATCTAGAAGAGTTCTTGATTGATATAAAAGCACTGGTATGGAATCCATGGAACAATCGAAGACTGCAATTTTATAAAGTCTTAGAGTGACCTTCACGAGTTTAGCCTTAACGTAACAGTATAAGAGAAGGTGAAGCAAAAGACCAGGACAGCCTATACCGCTTCAATGCCTAAGCTACACTCCGCTTATGCCACCCGAATGGACTTTGTTCTCTCTTATCCCTTCGCTCTGCCTCTTTCTTAAAAAGTATTCACATTTCAAGCCCAAGCCAAGGGCACTTCAGCTGCTTCAAGCCAAAAGCATCTCATGGGGATCCTCGCTCCCGGGAGCAACAGCAAAGCTTCTTAAGAGTCCATACTTTGGAAAGCTATTTGGGTTCGGTGAACTCTATGACCGAATCTTTCTCAGTTGTGAAGAGAAGGATTCTTTTTCCACCGCTTCGGATCCTGCAAGAAAAGGATGCTCCCAGTCAAAGCGGTCTGGTGAATCTTACTTCTGCTCATACAAAGCCCATGCTTTCTCAATCCTAATCTCATAGCTTTTAGAAATATAGTACTTTCACTATCACCACTATAAACATGGATCGGATAAGATCTGGCATGCACTTCGATAAAAGGAAACTGGCTACATTCAACACTGAGAGGGTCGGATCCCAACTCTCTATCCGAAAAAGGGCATAACGGCGGCTAATCTGGCATAACATAAAAATGATGGTTGGGATCGGGTAGATCATCACGGTTTGCTTCTCCAGAGGTTGGATCAGGTCACACTATCCTCGGAGGGAATAACACTGGACAGCAGTCTTTTAATTTTATAAAAGAAGTAAAATCCGGGCCTGCTTATGCAGATCTCTCTGTGGTCGGGAATGATATCTTAATCGAGGTGCCAGTCAGGAATGAATGCTCTCTCGAAAATTCTGTAGAGGATCGATGTAATTGAGCAGAGGCTAGCATGGAAAAATCACCCAATTCTGGGCTTGGTTGCTGTTTCAGGGACTGCTCTTAAACATGCTGTGGTTGGAAATGAGAACCTAGTTAAAGTGCCTGTTATGAGTGATTGCTCTACAGCCGGAGAGAAAGCGAAGCCTGGACCTGTTACAATGAAATCTAGCAAACTAGATGGGGAACAACCACTAATGATGCTGAAGAATGAAAAGCAAGGGAGTTCCTCTTCTATTTCTGTAGTAATGTTAATGTTAATAAACAAAAAAGATCAGTGAAATAAAGCTAGTCGTAAGTAGTCCGAAATTCAAGAATGAGGAGTTATGAAAGAGTAGGATTTTAGTAAGCCCCAGTTATATAGTGTGTGATTAGAAGGAATTTCGGGGGACAAGCACAAGGTTCGAAGACCAGTTCATTCATTTTCGTTGGGGACGGAACGGAGGAGACCGAACCCGAAAGAGTGGCATAATATAAAGCTCAAGGCGGGCTTACGTACGAGACTTTATTCGCTTAGTTTTTGAGTTGAAGAATCCAATTTCATCCTTGTACGAGCGGGGTTACGAATTATTCCATGCAAATCATCACGAGCTTGACCGAATCCTTATGTGAATCAAAAATGAGACGAATCCCCTTGTTTATGAACGAGTCCGAGTGCATAAGCACGGAACGAGCCATGAGCGAATGGGCAGACTATTCAAAGGAAGACGTTTTTTCTATGCTTCATTCCAAACAAGCAGTGTTTGTAAAGAAAAAGGAAACAGCAAGAGAAAGGTTGGTTCTGTCGACTCTATTGAGTCGAATTGATAAAAGATCTCATCTAGGCCCTTATTAACCTGCATCGCTAAGACCAATGCTGTTTTTTCGTTCTTTACAAACCTTTGAAGTAGCAACTAGGAAAGGGCTTTTTACCCAGACAAGATAGCAATCGAATCCATAAACGTAGCCTTTCCAGCCCATGTTCCAATCCGGATGGGCACATTCTTTGCGATCCCAGAGTTCAGGATTGACGGCCTTTATCGAGCTTCCATCTTGACACAGTTGTAGTCCCGGCTATATGATCGGCCACAGAATGGTTGGTGGCATCCGAGTCGACTATAGCACACTAAGCAACTTGCCATTGATTAAAACAAAAACATCGATCGACCTTTGAATCGTATCATCCATGGCGAAGGGTATCGTAACATTCTAATTCCAATTCATAGAATAGGCTCGTCGTCTCTTTCCTGTTGATGTGAAGGCGAGATAAAATATCTTAAGAGAAGAAAGCTCTTTGCCTAGGATCGTACCGTAGAAAGAAAATAAAGACTTCCGACTTGAATCATCTAGTTGCGTGTATTCTTCTTTCTCTCCTTTTCCTGGACCTTTTTCTTTCCAAGGGATGGGGTTGGGGTGTATAATAACCTTTTTCTTTCCAAGGGCTGTTTCTCACAACAAGATGGGTCTGTTTGGATTTTGGTCCATGATGGCCTTTTTATTGATTTTGACGATTGGATCTCTCTATGAATGGAAAAGAAGTACTTGGGCTTGGAAGTATGAAGTAAAATCGACTTTATGTATAATTAGACTTTTTTTTTTTCTCGAGTATTTTATAACGAACGATATTAATTTATCTTCTATTAGTGTATCTTTTTGGGGTTCCTGTCATTGCCTTTTGCGATGATCATGGGGACGAACAAACCAGTTCGGACGGAGAACCCGACGCTGGCATCGGCGCACAAGTATCCATTGAGGCTCGTCCTCAAGGAGAAGGTGCGTCAAATATCCCCTCTTCGACGCCAAACAGGCTTCCCAATCTTAATGAACCTGCGCCACCCTTAACTGACGAGGAGTTGGCTGCAGAATCGGAAGCCAATGCCGCGGAGTGTGACAGACTATTAGCTGAAATCTGTCAACAGGCGGAAGAAATCGCCCGGAATGCGGGCATAAGCGAGGAGGAAAGGTTGTCCAGTATCAAAGACGCGTCAAGTATCTTGCTGATGTCGACGCACTGGACGAAGAGGCCCGAATCCCCTTCCTCACGGACTTTAAGAAAAAGATCGAGAACCTGGAAACCTGGTTCAAGATCGATAAAGAATGTAGGAGATGGGGGGGCGAGGACTCTGCTGATGACCCGAAACAGTTGTTGTTGGCAGGCAGCATGGGAAGGGGGTCGGGCTAAGATAACTCAAGTGGGAGAGCGGGGGGACAGGTTGGTCAAAGGATCTGACAGGAAAGATAGAAACAGGGGAGTTGGCTGATAAAGATGGACAGTCAGGATTGCGTATGCGTAATATAAATTTGTCGGCCTCGCCATCGAAAGCGGCTTCCAATTGCTCGGAAATTCTCAGCTATATGGGGGGCTTGAATGGTGAGCAAAAACAATTGATCAAGAAGTTGGTCAACTTTCGCATGAAAGAAGGTAAAAGAACAAGAGTTCGTGCTATTGTTTATCAAACTTTTCATCGCCCAGCTCGAACTGAACGCGATGTAATCAAACTTATGGTTGACGCCCTAGAGAATATAAAGCCCATATGCGAAGTGGAAAAAGTAGTAATAGCAGGTACTATTTATGATGTCCCTGGGATTGTAGCCAGGGATCGTCAGCAAACCTTAGCTATTCGTTGGATCCTTGAAGCAGCTTTCAAACGACATATAAGTCACAGGATAAGCTTAGAGAAATGTTCATTTGCTGAGATACTGGATGCTTACCGAAAGAGGGGAATTGCACGTAAGAAAAGGGAGAATCTTCATGGACTGGCTTCCACCAATCGAAGTTTCGCGCATTTCAGATGGTGGTAAAGTGAGACCACATAAAAAGCTCTTCCTCATTCAGTCAGATTATTCAGTAAGATATGGTTCCTTTTTCCTTTTTGTTTGAATCTTCATATAATATATAAAGCCGGCTTCCTCATACTCCTCTCTTCATTCATTGAGTTGGAGGAATCCATAGTAGGCCCGCCCTTTATGCATTGCATGAAAGAACCTTTCTTTGTATGACTTCTCTTTTGCCTCAGGTCGAATGAATACGAAAGGGAGATCAATAAAAAAAAAAAAAATAGGCCATGAATGAAGAAGTAGTGGGCCTTTCACCCTCTTTCTAGTGACTCGGGGAGCTGATCTGATAAATGCACTTCAAAGGGAGGGAAGGGATGGACGGGATTTCAGTATCAACGCACCATTTCGCGGTCCTATAGGTTGAGTATTTCTTATTTTTTCTCTTAGCAGGATACATCTCTTCCACTTTCCTACCGTACGTACTACACGAGGGGATCCCATGCCCTGGAAGAATTACGCAAAGAAACTCGAGCCTAGGAGTCTAAAGGGGAACCCCCTCTTCTCGGGCGATAGGGAACAAGATTTTTTATGACCCTGGGAACCTCGCCCCTGCCAGTCACGGCGAAGTTGCGCTTCGGTCAGTTTTTCATGCCGCATATTTCTAAAGTAGGTCTGAACCTCTTTGAAATAGGGGCTGTCGCGACCCTCCGTTTCGAGACTTTGCAGGATCTCCTGCATTCGTTCGCCTCCATGCCTGTCTTCTAACAGATCTGTTAGAAATTCCGCTTGAAAGTTCCCAGGAACACGGGTGTGCAGATCGCGGCACAGGTCCTGTATGCGATTCGCTACTTTTTCGTGGGTCTCAAGATCGAAAATATTGAAGTTGTGTCTCAGTTCAGAAGCATGGTTGGGAGTCTAGTGTATATAACCATCACACGACCCGACATTGCCTATGTTGTTAGAGTCGTGAGTCAATTCATGCAGAAGCCAAGAACGATACATCTAGATGCTGCATACAGAATCCTCAGATATCTTAAGGGTTCACCTGGAAAAGGTCTTCTTTTCCCATCTTCCAGTTCCCTTCAGTTCCAGTTACTCTTACTCAAACTCCGAGAATTTATCCTCTAGTTCACAGTCGCGTTCCACAGGTTGTCTGGTCAGGTCAGACAAAGTTCAAAACGACTTAAGGAAAAATACAGTCTTCCGCGGGAAGATCAAGGTTTTCAGAGTCTTAACTTAATCGGACAGACTCTCTGTCTTCATCTTATCTTCTTTACGAACGAGAATGGTTGCTGTAAGCACGCACGAGGATTGAGTCTCTCTTACTCAAAGAAGAAGTGCCCCAGGGTCATTCATATTTTCAGGCGAACTTTCTCCTTTTATCTGCTGCGTTTTCCTTCTTTTACGATGAGATTTCTTCCTCTTCCTAGAGGGTTTTACGGCTAAAGGCCATACAGCTCACTCACGATACCCCCCAATCTAGCACACCGTTCAAGAACAGGATTTCTCCCCAAAGCCAGCTTTTGTTCTGCTGAGAACAAAGAAGTCGAGATAGTTGGTCCCACCAATCCCATCGGTACAGAGGATTGATGTGTCATGTTCCTAACCATAGGATTGCTCTACTATAGAGGTCGGGCATTTACATACTTTATATATATTCTAAAGGGCAGGAATGAACTTCAAAGATAATTTTTTTCGTTACGAAGCACGAGAACTGGGCTTGGTTAGTAGTGCTCGACCGACCCTTGAACCTAGCAGCTCGACTGTAAAAGAGGGGAAAAAAGCCTATGGCCAACCCCTAATGATAGCTACAAATAAGCCAACCAAACGGAATAGGTCTAATACCGCTAGGTAAATAAGCAATTAGTTGATGGCCTTTCCAATGCCGTGAGAAGTCATTATTAAGCTTCTCAGGCCCAGGACAATACGTACGAAAGGAAGCGCCGCGCAGTCGAAAGGACGTGCGCAAGCAAAAAAGATTGAACATCAACGGCATAAAACCAACCGGCCGCTCTTACCATCTTCACGTTGACAGGACTAATATCCTTAGACGCCGGATGGATTAGGAAACGTTTAGCAAATTTAAGGCAACCAGATCTGGAGACTAATGATTTCGCTAAGGAAATCTGAGCCCCAATCTCTTGCATGAATGAGCGAGAATGCTCCGCCACTCGCTAATCCCCGATGACAATATCATCACCTCGAAGCTAGTATTTGACAAATTCCTGCCAGGGTAGACCGCATACGTACTGAACCACACAAGAATGTGGTGACACAATGAGAATAACGGCCAGGAGGAGAGGAAGCCCAAGGGTTGACCCCTTGTAAAACGGAAAAACTTAAAGTAGCCTTCTGCTGAGTTAGGAGCCCGAAATACATTTGACTTGTAATCCGGACTCAACCCAAGCGACTACCTTACCTTGTTAAAAAACACTCGACCACTGTCCTCTGGAACTTAAGAAGAAAGCGGTCAGTTGCAGAAGAAAAATCATAAGATCTTACCTTCATGCAACCCTTCAACCAGCGCAGAGGTGCAGGTTGATCGAAAGTTCCATCTTGTCTTGTGGGAATTTCCTTAAGATGGACATAGACCAATCATGCGCGAGACGAAGTAGTGCCTGCTTGAATTTAAGGCGTTAGGAATAGCGAATACTCGCACCTTCCCAGCACCTTCTTCCTTAATTAAACCCCAGGCGACCAGTCGAATACATTGTCAGTAGATAGTAATCCGGAGGTCTCATAAGGAATGCTGACATACAAAACAACTAAAAGTCAGCAGACCATCCTTTTCCCAAAAGCGAGGCCTTTTCCAATCTTCTTTCCTTCCTCCTTTATCCGGAAGAGACTAAAGGCCATATGGAATGGACGCGAATCGGCAGAAGGAAGGACTAGGTTGGAATGTGATCTTTTTCTTTTCGTCTTATCTTAGACTGGCTGGGCTGAAGGAGAGGAGGACTAGCAACCTTTCCGTACCGCTTTCCGCTCGAAGCTCATCGATCGGTCCGCCCACTCTTTCTCAACATTCTTTGCCGAGCTCTCAGGCGGTGATGGGAAATCAATGAAAAGAATGAATTTATTTTTCCCTCATGAGCTCACAAAGGCCGCTACAGTCTGAGAAGAATGAAAGAAATCCCGGCGGAAGGGGAAAAGTCATGATCGGGTCTTCCTTCGAAGGGATGGCTTGTCCTTAGGGCCTAGAAAAAAGATTGGGCTAGTTCTGGAATCCGAGCTCGAAAGCCTTTGTGTGGATCCAGAGCACTGAGCTGAGGCAATTGCGTGTCGTGAGGGCACCAAAGAAAGATTCGGGTTCCCGCTCATTTTTGTCTATGCTCTTTTTTCATCTTTTTTTGGGAAAGACTGATAGCTCTACCTTGATCTGAAAGGGAGTAAAGAACCTTACCTTTTGTCTTGAAATCCGGTTCACTTCAAACTTCAAAAGAGCAGATGTATCTGAAGTGCAAGATTCTATAATTTTCTTGACCGCTTTCGAGACATCCATCTTCCTTCTCTCTCTTTCGGTCCTTTGACGTGAAAGGAGGTTGAAGGCCGGGAGCGCTTTCTTTCTCCTCTTTTTCTTTTTTAGATTCTCAAACTTTCTTGATCGGAGAAGTCTTACTCGATGGAGATAGATCAAAGCAAGCAGGCAGGAAGAGGCCGGTTTTGCCATGCTGTAGCATAAAAAAGCTAGCGAGCATAGGAAGGAGCGGGAATTGGGAAAGTCGAAAGGAAGTATGAAGTGAACGGACAGATGGGATGTATGGGAAAGAGGAGACTAATAACTGAGTCGGGCCTCTTCCTTTATAGAGAGGGTCTCAGGATGGTAGATAAAGAAGATTCTTTCTTTGATCACATCAAGAATGAGGTGAACCAATAATTTGATCGAGGAAGATGAATAGGAGATCGCCTTTGCCTTGCTCCCTCTTTGCATTTGAATTCATTAGTCAATTTACAGAGGGAAGGCCTTTCCCTAGTGCTTTCGAACTAAACTACTTGCCTCTTAGTCTTAGTAGCTTATCTGCTAGCTCTTAAAAAGCCTGTCTATATCCTTTCTATCTTTTTCTTCTTTTAGCTACTCATCTTTCCAGTGAGTGCTTATTTGCTTCTGCTATTAGTTGTCTCAATCTTTCTCTAACTATAAGCTATAAGGGATTAGCCAAGAACATTCTTTCGGAACCCTTATTCTCAGGTCAGATTTGCTCCAACTCTTGCGTCGAGACATGTCCATCGTTCAGTCTATCCCATGTCGGGTAAAGGGGAATAGGATCTTAGACCTAGCGGGGACCGGGCAAGACAGCATTTCGGTCCTTCACTCCTCGTCCTTTCACTCGAGTGAGTCATCTTTCCTCTCCTTTCAGTCGAGCTCAATTACATCGACCCTCACCAATGCTCTTTCGCTCCTTCTTCCTTCTCTGGGTTAGCCCTTTCTGGGATAATTATTCTGAATTTAAAAGTAAAAAAATCGAGTTCTTTTCACTTTCATTTCAAAACAGTGTCTTTTATAAAAACTCGAAAGGCGATTACCCCTACTATCTACAACTTCAGACGCGACAAAAGTGCTTATTCACCATAAACAAGATTCATTCCCCTTCTTTCTCTTTCCGACGATCGGTCATTCTTTCTAACAGCTCCATCTGAGAACGACGCCCTTATGGGCTAGGCTAACCCTGTTCGTGGGATCTTTTATCCTTTCCTTCTTCCTAGGACAGTAAGAATGGAATTGCCTGAATGATATCAGTCAGAGCGCATTCCCTCACAGCTTCTTTTCTTCTCAAGCACTTGCTATTTCATCTTCTCTTAGATAGGCTATCTTCCGATTCAATGCCATCAAAATGGACTTAGCATGCCTTTTTTTCCTTATTAGTTCAAATAGCCCTAGCTAGATTCTCAAGCTCTGATTCACCCGCAACAAGAACAGCCTGTATGCCGAAAGGACTAAGAGCTCTTATTCCGCAGTCTTTAGCACATAGCAGTCGACGCAGTACTGATTCCTGGCGGTTCCGCTAATCTTCCTATAAATTCCATTC